CTCATCTATTGGCACTTCTGTAATTATCTCAGCTTCAAGGTCTTCATGATATTGCTGATAGTCATTTAGGTCTGTCACAATTTTTACTGCCCCACCATCTAAAATTCAACCTCTACTCTTTGAAATAATGCTGTAGTTTCAATACAGCTGAATATCATCTATGTCATTTTTCTTGAGAGCACTTCTACTAGCATTGCTTCCTTTCCATAGGCATTTGGTGGACTTAACATCCAAATTTCGAACTCATGCAACTCATCTTCCCCACTTAAAGCTTTATTCCCACATAGCACACCAGCCGCAAACCTTTTGCTTTTATCTTTGTTTGGCTTTTCTCTTTGTGGCTTAAACCCTCTTACATATGATGGCATGCTAATTGTTTCAGTACTTTTACTAATACTGGTATCTAGTAGTAAGTTATGATATGCCTCATTAGAATCTGCAATCGTTTCACATTGTGTGACATTATTTTGCACTTCTGTGCAAACAGGGCCCAATTGGATTTCAATAACATCATCAAATGAAAAGAAGGAGACATTTTCCAAGTCCACTTTGTTTGTTCATAGCTCTATATTTGAGCATACACTTTCTGTGATGATATCATTGCTTTTCCACTTCTTCAATAATTCAGCCATTACTGGAGCTAACTCTTCAATCTTTCTTTTGGAATCTTCATCCCCCTTATTGCATGCAGCAATAAGAACCTTCTAGAACTCATCATATTTTAATTCATTTTTTTCTCCTCTTTCAAATGGGCCGCATCCGAAAAAAATCCCGGCCTGGTTTATTGGCATCAATTGCAAAGGTTTTTTGTTTCAATTTTAAAGAAACTATGCTATTGCCTTGGATTCTTCTTAAGTCATGCTCAGCCTTATTTATTTGAACCATTTGGTTCATTTTATCAACAAACTCTCTGACACTTAGGTGTACTTAAGGCAAAGAACATGTACCGCCTCTAAATGTACCATGGAGTGCTTCAAGGTTTCTATTCCCAGTATTTCTAAAAGCATATCTATCAAAAACTATTTTTGTAAAGCAAAGGAAAAGCCCCAAAAAATGCAAGATTGCAGCATGCACTAATAGCTCCTGTGTCACGTAATGCGGTCTGCTTATCAAATGATTTTTAAATTTCAATGTTGGAGATGCAATTATGTATTGCCTCCATCTTTGAAATGTTGAAAGTCCAGCCCAAAGGCTCTGAACACTTTTCTCTGGCTGGCCATATTTGTTATTTCTATACAGTGCATGAATCCAAACTGAAGCTTGCAAGTATAACTGTGTTGCTTCAGAGCTGGGAACATGCTTTGCCAACTCATCAATCATCTTATCATTTAGGACTTTTCCTGTAGCATCACAATTTTGTGCAATTAAAAGTGATATGTCTTCATGCTTTACACTAACATTTGGCTTCATCTGCTTTAGAGCATGAATATCATTAACTGATGCTATTTTTCCTGTTGTGATGCCAAAAGCACTATTGAAATATTCTGCAATAATGCTTATCCTGCTGTTCAGTAAGTTTCCAACTGATGTTCCACAGCAGTTACACTGTAAGCATCTGCCAAATTACCTGCACTTCTAACCTTAGAGACATACTGAGTAATACCTAGTTCCTCTTCAGGAGCTACAGTGGGCAAAGCATTTTCAGTGGACAGCCAGTTTCAGACAAGAGGCAAAAATGATTCTCCTACCAAAATATACTTGTGCCTGTATAACTCAATTACTCTAACAATTTCAGTCCCATCTATGCTGATTTGTAGCCGTGTAGGCTCTTGCAAGGAAAGCTTCTCAAATGCCCAGTCATTGAGACCTGGAAGATATACACTGCAATATCCTTGCTACAAATTCTGAGCCTGACAAAGTGATAGCAAACTGAGAATTGGTAATATGGTGGAGCAGATGTTTTTCCCCAATCTGTTTGAAAGCAAAATACCAAGACTACAAGCTTGCTGGTGGGCATGATGAAAACTTCCTTTGTGCTTCTTTGAGAGCAAATTGCATAAAAAATTACAATCAAGCTCACTTATATCCTACTCCAAAAATAAATGTCATTTTTTCAATAAAAGAACTCAAGGTGTCATTATCTCTCCAAGCAGAGTGCAGTTCTCTCCCAGTTGCAATTTGCAATCTCTTAATCTTTTGCTTGTCAACTTTGACTGTTGTTTTGTCATTTTTCACCGTCTATTCTAAAAGAAAGGTATTTTGTCCTAATACCTTGATGTAAAGCTCTAGTGTCGTCTCTACTGTATTTTAATATGCCCACTCGAGTAAGTTTTCTCATTAGTTGACTACTCTGGCAATGAACTAATGCATGACAGCTATCACAAACATGTGGATGTAAGTGACCAATGTTTGGTATCTGCTGTCACTTTCCACTAATAGCTCCAGGAAAAGCATGTATGGTAGTGTCAAAGTGATCATCATTAACAGCAAATTTTTCATCATAAGGCTGGTCTGCTATTTTTGGAGAGATATTGCTGTATCAATGTGGTTATTCCGCCAACTAGAATAATCAGTACATCACATGCAATGAACAATATCAGGATTGACCAGATTCCATGGTTTTAAACTATTTCTTACATCACACCAAAGCTTTTTAGCAGTAGTAGCACCAGTAGTTCCATCACCCTGTAAAGCAACAAATTTTTTATCAAATATTCCCCTACATGGGCACTCATCAACTATTTTTATAATGAATTTTAACAATGCAGCCATGGTGACTGCATCAAATCTACCATGATTGCTTTTGGGCATGTGACTTTTGTTTAGATTTACTTTATGTTACTCTATCAGAACCTAAAAGTAATAAAACCTTTCAATAAGTCAAGTCGTATTGTCTCATGCAGTCATGTCATGAAGTTCTAATGTCTCCCATACCTTGTAGCTCTTGCTTTGAATCATCTGTGCAAGTTTCTGCTTTTTCTAACTCTGATGAGACTTGGAATGCTTCACATGCTGATTTAAAACTCTAGGCTGAATTGAACTTTTAAAATCAGAGCAACAAGTTCAAAGGATGGTCTCCTTTTCTAAATTTATGTGCAGCGGCTGCCTATCATCATCATTTGTGACCCGATATGAGAAAACGAGGTTATCTGCAGGATTTTGGTAAAATCAGTTTTTGGTACTTACAGATAGAGAAAAATTTCCTTTCCAGCGATATCCCATTTATGACAATGCGCAATAAAACTTTGCAGTTAGGGACGCTGTTTGGACGATTGCTCTGGAATACAAATACAGAGAAAAAGGCATTTTAAGTTATTTTCAATGTTTCCATGTCACGCCTGTTCACATAGTAAATGTGACCATGCCCACCACGTAAACCACACCCACATCAATTAATAAACGGGTAAAGAAGAAAGAAGCACTTGACAGCATTTTAACTTACTTTTCTTGCTTTTAGGACATCTTAAGAGTGATCTGAAGCCCAGCCATGCATTGAGACTTCAAATACAAGTAATTATTTCATTACAAAAGTTGTAGAGTTATTGCTATGTGTTCTAGTGCCAATAAAGTCCTTTTGTGAACTGTAATAACATCATCTGGGTCATTTACATCCAGACATCGCTTCTGCTTGAGTTTACAGGTAATATTTTTATTTAGAACTATAATTAAGGTTTCTACATTTAACATTAAAATAATTTATAGTTTTAGCACTCGCTGATGAATCCTATAAAAGATTATTCTTATTCTTATGTTTCATTATGTTCCTTTCCTTACTGTTGGATGAGGGGCTCCTCCTGTTCCTCCATGGCCTCCCCTCTACCTCCTTGGCCTCCTCCCCTCCCTCCTCTTCCATGCTTTCCACCTTTACCCCACCCTCCTCCTCTGTGTTGCCTTCACTTTTTCTAAGCAAAGGAAAAATTCTAGTGATTACTCATTTCAATAATGCTCTTTTGATACTTTAAATCTTTC